GCGGGAAGGCCCAGAGGGGCAGCCACGGAGGGTCGACCAAGGCGGCCGACCTCCCTTGCTCGACGGAGACGGGAACGGAGGCGGGCGCGACCCGGCCACCACAGGCGTGGTGGGGGCGGGCATTGAGCGCCTGCAGGCGGTGGGCGGCAGGTGTGGCATGTGTGGGGCAGTGGCTGTGCTCATTTCAAGGGCTCAGGGGGCCAGGCTGGGTGGTGGTATGGGCAAGGGCGTGGTGGTGGGTGGTGGGGGCGGTCGTGGTGTGGTGAGCGTAAACAAGGGGGCAGCAGCTGGCAGCCAGTTCTCGGGCAAGCAGCTGTGTGGTGGCGGCATGCGTGGCAAGCATGCGGCGGCCAGTGGATGCCATGGGGCCCGGCCATGGCGAGCGGCACGTGGGGAGGAGATGGTCGGCGCTTTTTTCACAAGATTCCGATCGGGAATTTGGGCTGCGGACCCGATTTAGGTTTCGGTCCTTTGCCGAGGGGCCGATCCAGGGCCTCTCAAAGATTTTTTATTTTATTTTAAAATTTTTCTTGAGGGCCACGGGCGAGCCCTCGTGAAGAGCCCTTAACAATTTTTTTTTTTTTTAGTCCAGCTTTTTTGGTGCTACAATATATTGTTTTGAACTCAATTTTAAAATTTAGGCCAACTTTGATTTTTGTATATTTCCTTAATTTATTTTGATTCTTTGATTTTTTTTTTCAAATATGTCAAATTTGAACTACAGTGCATGGAATATTGCAATGTAGTGCATGGAATATTGCATTGGTGCATGTAGTGTTTGAAAAATATTATTTCACAAGATCTTGTTAATTGGTGCATGTTGAGTCCTTATCCACGAACCATACGTATCAAATTTCATGCAACTTGGCGAGATGTCATGTTATCGTGATGAGGACTTGGTAAAAAATTGAGAAGATTTCGAGAAATAGTGGCGGATGTTTGAAACCTTATATCTCGATCACATGTGAGATGTGTGGGTTTCAATCCGACGTCAAAATCTCGCTCGAAACCTTCTCAATTTTTTACCACAGCCTACACATGTGATAACATGACATCTCGCCAAGTTTCGTGATTTTCGACTTCGTATGGATTTTATATAATTTTAAAACACTTTTCCTAAGAAGTCGGTGTCAAAAATTACGCTAACAAGATGCGCTAAATTTGATGCGAGTTCGTGGATAGGGACTCAACATGCACCAATTAACATGAATAACATTTTTCAAACATTACATTGCAACATTCCATGCACTGCAGCTCAAATTTGACATATTCAAAAAAATCAAAGAATCAAATAAATTAAGGAAATATACAAAACAAAATCAAAATTGGCCTAAATTTTAAAATTGAGTTCAAAACAATGTATTGTAGGACCACAAAAAACTAGGCTAAAAAAACAAAAAAAAATGCCGAGGGCCTGGCCCGTGATCATCGGCAAAGAATTTTTTTAAAAAAAAAAATCTTTGCCGAGGGCCTATCCTAGCCCCTCGGCAAGGGCTTCTTTGCCGAGGGCCTAGCCTCGCCCTCAAAGAAAAGACGGTTTATAAAAAAAAAAAATTAGCCGAAAAACTGGTTTTAAAAAAAATCTTTGCCGAGAGCCTGGTCTAGGGCCCTCGGCAAAAAAAAATTTGCCGCAAAAGATGGTTTCACAGAAAAAAAACCTTTGCCGAGGTCCTAACGGGTGGCCCTCGGCAAAGCTTGACGGGAAATGGCCGCCGTGACCCAACGGGCCTAATTTGCCGAGGGCATCTTTGCCGAGGGCCGCGGCCCTCGGCAAAGATTTGATTTGTTATGGGCTGCTTTTTGCCGAGGGCCGTACCATCGGCAAAGGCCTCTTTGGCGAGGGCTCCGAGGGCTCCCTGGCGGCCCTCGGTAAAGAGTGTCTTTGCCGAGTACTCGAGATTTGGTCCTCGACAAAGCACGCGTTTCCAGTAGTGATAAGCTGGATCAGCTTGGCTCTGATTTCGATATGTAGAGATATGCATGTCTTTTCAATACTAGTTGAACACAATATATTATCTGAGCGTAACTACAGACAAAAAAAGCTCTGCCATTCTAAATGCTTACAGATATAAATTATTCAATCAATCTGCTATATTGCAATAATAAGATGTACTAGTAATTATTAATTAATACAATACTAAGCCCACTTGATATCGATGGGACTGAAATTTACTGCCAGCCTACAATTTATGCGACCCATGTTGCTGCCCATGGTCTGTGACCCCGGCCCCATGTGCAGGCCGTACAGATTAGGCCCATAGTTTGCGCAATGAACTTGTGTTTCTCTCTCTATTTCCTGCATGTACATTACGCCGCACCACGTAACACTGAGATCCACGTACAGACTGGCAGCAACTTTATGACCAGTTGGTGTTAATAAAACGGAACCTCTCATTCTGCTTTCCTCGAACACCAGCACCACACAATAATTCTCCACCACCTAAAACAATATGGGCTTGTATTGACTTGTATACGTAGCACCTCGTAAAGTTACTGTATACACATTAAACAACACCATGTTGATGTCCTCATGTAAGTTTTATATCCAATAAAAGAAAAGCAGCCACTTTACGTCCATTTGCTCTTTTAAAAAAATATTGTGTTGCTTTACTCAAAGACTGACACCATGCAAGTCTCCACATGTAGAACTCGCATCATTAGTCATGATGCAGGGGTTACTGGCGCACTAGTTTAGAGATGTGTATCTTTGGTCTTCCAAGAATTGCAGTTAATGGTAAAGAAGGCGCACTAGTCATTGAGAGTGCCCACTAGAGGTTGCTTTTGCTAGCACCATAATTTGTTTTATCAAAATCCTACGGCAAGTGTGGTCTCATTATTTCTCTGTCGCTCTTGGCACGGCCTAGTGGGCTTGCGTGTGTGCGCATCTTTACCTTTTTTTATTTTCGTTCATTAAATTTGACTGCAGGAAAGCGAAAAGGAACCAACTTGTAAATGCAAAACAAAGGCTTGCTTTAGCATTTATATTTGTACAACAAAGCCCCGTGATTAGGTTTGAAATTTGTGGCAATAATGCTTAACCGCGCATGCCCCAAAGCTAGGACTCACCATCCATCATACGTTTTGTTTATCTACGTAGTTGCCACAATAGAATTATTGCACAAAAGACATCACTAATGTTTGCAACAACTGCTGCTTCTATATTTGTTCAGCACGCACTTAATTACCAAGAGCATATTAGTGGTTGTTAATTAAGAAAGGCGTGTGCTTTTGCATCATTAGAGCTAAAGGTTTAGCAACAAGCTTCTTTCCCGTGGAATTCGGCATACATTACAGCCTTCCGAGCTGATATAGCTGGTGACCTATGTTCTTGTATATGACTTAGTATTGTACATGTAAAGGTTGATCGAATAAAAAAGTATACCTCTTGATGAAGTACTCCATGCCACGCAATATGTAAACACTAAGGGCTCCATTGGAACACTATGGGATTGGAAAAACACAGGAATAGAAAAAACGTAGGAATATGATAGGATTGCATGTGTAAAACTGAGGATTCGAAAACACAGGAAACTTGCAGTAGTTGTTGTTTGGATGGGCACAGTAAATTTGTAGGAATAGCAACCATAGGAAATTTCTATAATCCTCTCATGTTAGTTTAACCAACTAGTATAACAAGATATTTTATTTGAGCAAAGAAAAATAGCATAGAATAACTTACAAGTGGGCCAGCAACTTGTCGATCTTATCTGCTCCCCATGAACCCACCCTGGTTGTTTCCATCCACTCATTTCAGGCAAGCTAGCTTTCTCTCTGTCATGCATCGCGTCCGTGCAGGAGTCTGCCAGTGTGATCTCGAGCGGAGAGCGGCCGGTAGCGCCAGCTCCAGCGAGGATGGCCGTGGCAACGCAGCAGGAGCAGAGAGCCGCCAGTGCAGGACGCTGGCCACACAATTTGGAGCTGCGGTAGGGCAGCAGCCCCAGCATGCGAACTAGAGCGTCGGCAGCAGTACGAGAGCTGCTCCAGCTATAGTTCTCACAAGTCATTTGCGCGCGCGTGTCTACCTTGACTGTACCGGTCAAATGTAAGACGATAGGCCGATACAAACTAAATATAGGACAGGAGGCATCCGTTCTTACCATCAGTAGGTGTTTATTCTCATCGTTCAGTCTATTGTCATGCTGAATGTTTAAAACAAACGTGAGATGCTGAGACGCCACACATATATTACATGAGACATAGAGATTGTTCAAATACTAGTTATAAGATAAGACAGAATACTTTGCTAATGAAACAGGATAGCTAGAACATCAACATGCCATATATATTTACAGCCAGAGAACCATTATTCATGACTCATGCATCGTGTGGTGGTAAGAAACTAAGCATATGCACACGTACTTGTTCTATAGCATAGGATAGTTAGCCCATATGTAAGCAAATGTCACGATTGTTTTACACAAGCAGGCAGTGCAGGCAACTGCAGGAACATATCATATCATCGGTTACATTACTGATCAATTACATCCTTTATTTATGTTTGTCAAGTGTACAAACAGTGACCATAAGATGAAGTACTTGTCATCGCCTGATTCATGGTAAAATCTCTGGTACATACACATGGCTACGCAAAGCTACACTTGACGCGTGAAGTTTTAGTTAGCAAGCACACACATACGCTGGTGGTGGACTGCCAGGCAGCTAGCTGCAGCTTGGGGCTCCAACACAAGACGACATGCTCGCTGAATCACCATAACTTTTATCATTATAAGCAAAAAATGAAGCAAAGGAAACGATTAGCTCACGCAGTGCATGAAATTAAGCAGATGCATGAACATTACATTAACATCCTTGATGCTTGTCAGCTTTACAAGCAGATCTAGACGATAGATGAACTACTTGTCACCGTCTGATGCATGATGATTGGTAAATCTCTACAGCTAGGGAAATTAAGCTACACATTGATGCACAAAAACTTGCATGCAGCTTTAACCAGAAGTCCAGAACACACACACGGCAGCCAGTTCCAGCTACTAGCCCTGTCAACACATAAGATACGGAGGAAGCTGGAGGAGGGGATCTGATCCTTGAAGAAGACCGCTGCATGCTGTGTAGGACGAACTCGTCGGCGCGTAGCTGCTCCATGGAAATGGAATACGTGCTGTTGCCATGCCGCCGCTCCACTCGCCGCAGTACATCGTCTCTGGGCCGGGGCCGAGCCCGAGCATATCCTCCAACGTGGCTTCCGCCACCACGGGCACCACCTGACCGCACGGCATCTGGATGAACTCGCCGCCTTGCTCATGCAATCGCTGTACATCGATCGTCGTCGTCGTCTCCGGGCCGAGCATATCTTAAACGGTGGCTTCGGCCACCACGGGCACCACCGGACCACACGGTAGCCGGATGAACTCGACGTCGTGCTGCTTCGGCTCGGAGATTGGCTGCTGCAGTCCCCGTCGTCCCTGCTCCGACTCATCAGCTCGCAACATGCACTCGTCGTCGACGTAGAAGCTGATTTCTTCGATGTTGAAGTTGAAGTCACCGCCTGGGCCTGCTGGCTGCTGCACGGCAACCTCCTGCACGTCTGCTTGTGGCTGATACTGATGATAGTTTGGCATCGGATAATAGGCGGTTTCCTGCTGCACCTGTTCTTGCTGCTGGATCGACTTGGCTGGCGGCGTCTAGGAGTGCTCACCGCCACCGGCCTTCCTCTTCTTGGCTGTCTGCTTGGACGAGGCGTTCTTGCTGGAGGATGACGCCAACGCCGACTTCCCTTTCGCGCGAAGCGAGCGGTAGACCGTGCAGAGCACGTACGTAGTTGCTGCTGTCCGCGGCGGCTTCATCTTGTTTCTTGTCGGCGGCGACGAAGTCGTATTCCACCATGCACCACCCCATCCTGTCGATCGATCGAGCGGAGGGCTCCGTCTTGCGGCCGTAGGAGAAGGTGCAGAACGTGCCGCCACCGGATCCCTGGACGTCCCTGCGGCTTATCTCCGAGTGCCAGCTAGTGCCGCCACCGCCGGTGACCGCGCGCTGCCTGTACCCGCTGAGCTTGCCTCGCGTGTTCGTGAACTTCTTGGCGTGGTACAAGTACCAGATCCTGCTGTAGCCGTCGTCTTCGAGACCGGTTCCCGGCACCGGCTCCAGATCAGCGACGAAAACCTCGGGAGGAGCAGCGCAGACGTCGACGTGGTGGAAGAACTGGACGTCGTCGCCTCCGGCGCGGAGGCGGCGCAGGAGGGCTATGGAAGCCTTATTGTCGGTGGGGCTGCGATCTTGGTTGGAACTTGGATTGAAACTAGAGGTCACAAGGCATGGCATGACGCTGGAGAAAGAGAAGCGTGATGTTGTCGTGTTGTCAGCAATCAAATTATCGTAAATAGATCATGTCGCCGAGATGTAGCGCTGCCGTTGGATCGACGACGACGATCAACTTTGGGTGCATGTGGAGGCGTACGTGCGTGCGTGAAGCCGTGAAGGTGAAGAAGGCACAAGTTGTCGGGCGGCAGAGGTGGTATATAGGCCAGGCCGACCGACGCATGGATGCGATCTTGTTTTGCCGCTCTCCTATTTCGATTCATTTCATCTAGCTTGTTTTTGCCGCGGTGAATACTACACGGGCGAGGGCTCAAGTCTCAAGTCTGAACTGAAACGAACCGGGCGTCCGCCTCCGATCCCGTTGGTCCTAGCTAGAATGGCGTGCCGCCGCCACCGCCATTCCGTGCCCCAAGCAAGGTCGCCCTCACTCCAGCCTGCCGGCCAGGGCTCCGCGCGCACGGCGGGCTGGCCATGGCGAGCTCGCTTGAGCTTGCGCTTGCCTTGGTGATTCAATCGATCACATGTACGCCAAACGAGGTGATAAATTCATGAGGTTCGGCTGGTGTTTGAATAATCTTGATCGAGCCGAGGAGCCGGACGAGGTGAGGCATGGTTGATCGAGCTGTGCATCGGTCAAGCCAGTGTGGATTCCTCCTCTTGTGAGCTCCAGTACGTCCGGTGTTCTGACAGTTGTTGTGGTGAACACCACAAGCAGTCAGAAGAAGAGGATTAAAATTCAAACACGACGAGGTAGTTCAAAAACCACGGTTAGTCAGTGGTGATGCTCTAGTGTAGTCTAGTCTAGTCGGAGATGCTTCCATATGAAATTGCAGCACCTGTGCACGATGAGCTATCAGACATGGCACTAGACTTGTTCAGAGAGCTTAATTCGTTAAACCTATACTGGAAATGAGCCGGACCAATTCACCATGTCAAGACGGTCAAGTGTGCGTGTGTGTGATGGAACGCCTGTTAGCGGGTACGCTGCTATGAGTCGAATTAAATCTGGGATTCCATCGGGCAATTCGCAGACTGAGGTTTAGAGGTGATCTTAAGGCTGCAGACAAGATATAGTATTTGAGATAATACCAAGTTAAACTCATTTTTTTCTTTCCCTTCCTTCAGGTTAAATTCGACAGCAATATATGGAGGTAGGAACTGTAGATAGAAAATTAACAATTTCAACAGGTGATGAAACAAGATGAACAAAAACCATGTCATCTTTCCCTTCAAACAGTTGACCATGTATGCCCGTTTTCTCTTTCGTCTGAACTCTGAAGAGTAATCTAGAAATGTGTTTGTACAGAGAAACAAATCCGCCAGGTCCGTGCCCTCAACTAGACGATCCTGTGATGAATACCTGTTGCTCCTCGTATGTCTGTCTGATTTCCCCCTTTATGTGAGCGATTTTAAATGATTTTCCTTCTTTGTGAACACAAGGAGGCCACTGTGAAATGGTGCTTAGTGAGGAATATGAATTTTGAAGATGGTTATATCCTAAGCTGAGAATTCAGTGGAACTTGATTTGTTAGAAAGTCCAAGTTTTTCAATTTGCCTTAAGGGGTGGTATGATATTCTCAGTTAAATATATGGACAATGCAATTACTCCAAATATAATTGGGACTTGTCACAAACACATCTGGAAAAGGGAAAATTCCTCCAAAAGTCAAAATCTTTGTGTGGCTAATGGAAAACAATGCAATTCTCACAAAGGATATTCTTATTAGAAGAGGATGCATGGGTTGCTGACGCTAGGTGCTCCTTCTGTGATAACAATAAATCAATCTCTCACCTAATCTTGAGTGTCCTGTGTTAGATTGATCTCTTCCAATTGACCCAGTGGCCAATTGGGCCCTTGGATCCACGCCCTGATCAGGGGCGTCCAGCCGCTCCATGGTTGGTGGGCCCGTCACACAGTGCCATAAAAAGGGAGGTGGGGGCCGGGGCACAAGGCACGAGAATCACCTGAGCCGCCAGACGCCCCACCTACAGTCCCTAAACCCTAAACCGATCTAGTGAGGGGGCATTGCCAGCGACGGGAAGACTGCCACCGGCCATCGCCGCCTCTGCACAGCCACCATTGCGTCCGTGACTTCACCGTCGGACATCACCGCGTCACCGACAAGGACGCCATGGCAAGCTCGTCTTCTACGAAGGCGGCCGATGGTTTGCACCCCCGCAACCCCTCTCCTCTCTGTTACTCTATTTCTTTATGTACTTAGATGAACTACATCTTTTGTCACAAGTAGAAGAGGTTGTACCCGCTAGATCTATGCCTAGTTGATCCTACAGTTTCTATCAATGGTATCAGTTAAGCCTAATTTGGGCGAAGATCTAGGCTTTGGGGTAGAAAAGAAGAAGAAATTAGAAGGAGGTGATTCGATTTTGATCTAGACGAAACCCTAACCATAACCCTAAAAGGGAAAGGACGGAGAAGGGGAGGAACCTACCTGGGTTTTCTTGCCTCCGTCGACACCACCGTTTGCGCGGGAAGAAGACCGCGCCGCCGCTTCGCCGTGGCGCGGGAAGGGAGTCGCCGAAGGGCGTGGCCTCGCCGCCGCGTGTACCCTACCGAGATTGGGCTCAGGGCACCGCAGCAAGACAGCTCGACGGTGGCGCGCTCACCCTTGAGTGAACGCGCGCGTCGGCGAGGGGACCTGCGGCGGCGCCGCCGACCTCCTTCCTCCAGCTGCGCTGCGGGTGGCCGTCGTCGCGGCTTTGCTTCGCGCTGAGAGGGAGAGGGAAGAAAATGACTAGGGTTAAAGAGGAGGCATGGCCGGGGCGGGTTTTGTGCACCTGATTAGCGCGACAGCCGTCGATCGTGATCCGATGGCGGTAGCTTCTCGGGCGGATTGAGCCTAGGCGGGGAAGTAAATTCCCGGCCCAGGCCCAGGTTGCGGCCTGGGCGCGGGGAGCGCGCGCACAAGTTGGGCCTAGATCTGGATGGAGCTGTGCTAGGCTGCAGCAAGGCTGTTGGCTGCGGTTGCCATGCCTTTGGCCCACGCTACACAAAAGATTCAACTGTTTTAAGTTTTTTATTTAATTTTTAGAAGCAATTTGATGATTTCAAAGTTTTGATGATCAATCTCAAAGTGAAAATTTTTGAACCAACAGAATATTTTTTCAAAGAGTAGAAAAGTACAAAGAAAATGCTTCTAAAAAATAGATAAATTTATCTTTCATGTTTCCGCTACAAATGATGATGCTTATGATCTTCTAATTAAATTTGAACCAACGGGAGGATTTAATTTTGAGGAGTAGTTATAATTTTCAGTAAATTATGATATTGTTATTTTTCTTACCAACGTTGATAATAGCAATATTATAATATTTATTCATGAGTTTTTGTATGCATTAGTTCTATTTTTGCTCAACGGTGATGTAGAATTAATGTAGAAGAATGTTGTATGTTTTAATTTTGACCAACGTTAAATTAAGACATGCAATTATTATGTTAATGTTTTCTTACTATCTCTGACGGTGTTTTTCAGAACTCAACCCAATGGCTTTTATCTCGCACGTATCATCTCTTGAAGGGGGCAACTACAGGGTATGGCGAGAGAAGTATGAACTAGCACTTGCGCTGTCTGAAAATGACCTAGCGCTTACCTCCTCGTGTCCGACTGAGCCAGTGCACCCGGTGAGGGAAGATAATGAGACTGATGCTGATTTCACTGCTCGGCACCGAGATCATGCAGAACTGCGGATGAAATATGATCTCGAACGCAAGAAATGAGACATTTCAAACCACAAGTGCTTAATGGTGGCTAAGTCCACAATTTCAGATGCTATAAGGGGGTCTATCCCAGATTGTGATACCGCCACAGAGTATCTTAAGAAAGTGGAGAGTCAGTTCACTGGCTCTTCCAAGGCTTATGCCAGTACTTTGATCAAGAAATTGTTCAATGAGAAATACACTGGTGGCGGTATCAGAGAGCACATACTGAAGATGAGCAACACGGCTTCAAAGCTGAAGCCAATGGATTTGGGGCTCAAGGATGAGTTCCTAATTCATTTGGTTTTTGCTTCCTTGCCCAAAGAATATGAAATTTTTGTTGTGAACTACAACATGCAGCCCGATAAATGGGATGTAGAGAAGCTCATTGCAATGTGTGTTCAAGAAGAGGAGATGCTGAAAAGCTCAGGGAGTGACTCTGCTAACCTTGTGAACGACAATAAAAAGAAGAACTTCAACAAGAATGCCAAACCTCAAGGAAAAGCCCCTCAGAATAACCACCATTAGAAGAACAACAATGCTCATGTTGAAAAGGATCAGTGTAAATGGTGCAAGAAGCATAGATATTACCAGAGGGATTGTCCAGACTTCATGAAAAGCCTTCTGAAGAGAGGTGAAGATTTCATTATATTCATAGATGAATCCTTATATTTAAGTTATGCAAAATCTACTTGGTGGATTGATTCAGGTGCAACTGTTCAGGTTACAAATTCATTACAAGGATTCCGTACGAGGAGGACACTGCAAAGAGGAGAAAGAAGAATTAAAGTTACAAATGGAGTTGAAGCTGAAGTTGAAGCCATTGAAGATCTTTCTCTAGAATTAGATGATGGTTTTAGACTTCAGCTTTCAAATATTCTTTATGTACCCTCTTTGCATAGAAACTTGATAAGTGTTTCAAGATTAGATGATGATGGATATGATTGCCATTTTAGTAATGGCAAATGTCGGATTGTGATTAATAATAAGTGTGTTGGTCTTGCCTTCTGACAAGACAAGCTTTATTTATTATCACTTTCTGAGAATATGAATGATGTGAGCACTGAGCATGAGAATGTCTCCTCGTCTATGAATGCAAGTAATAAGCGGAAGAGAGTTTATGATACATCATCAAAATTATGGCACTGTCGTTTAGGCCATATTTCGAGGGGGAGAATAGAGCGATTGATTAAGAAATTAATTCTTCTGCCTTTAGAATTTTCAGATTTAGAACAATGCATAGATTGCATAAAAGGAAAGTACGTTAAAAAAATAAAGAAAGATACCA